CCACCGCAGCTGCGCATCGTCCCCGAGCGCTCGGGCCCCGCGCTGGCCCTGGTGTGCCACGCCTGGGGCTTCTCCCCCGCCGAGATCACCCTGAGGTGGCTCCGCAACGGGGCCATCGTTGGGGACACCGTCGGGGACACCGTTGGGGACACCGTTGGGGACCAATTTTGAGGCACATTGGGGGCACAATTTGGGTCCATTTTGGGACCATCTGGGGCAGATTTTGGCGACATTTTGGGGAACCTTGGCGGCCATATTGGGCCACATTTGGGCCCATATATGGCGCCATTTTGGGACCATTTCAAGGCCAGTTTGGGGCCATTTGGGGACACATTTGAGGCCATTTTGGGGACGCATTTGAGGCCATTTTGGCCAATTTTGGGGCAGTTTTGGGTACCCTGGCAGCCATTTTGGGGCCCATTAGCGGCCATTTTGTGGAGGACATTTTGATCACCTCAGGACATTGGCGGCCATCTTGGAGCCATTTTGAGCCCGATTTCCGCCATTTTGGCGCCATTTTGAGCTGGATTTTCACCATTTTGGGGCCATTAGGTGACACAAAGCCGCCTCCACGATGTCCCCAAATGTCCCCAACTGTCCCCTCAGCGCCACCGCAGCTGCGCATCGTCCCCGAGCGCTCGGGCCCCGCGCTGGCCCTGGTGTGCCACGCCTGGGGCTTCTCCCCCGCCGAGATCACCCTGAGGTGGCTCCGCAACGGGGCCATCGTTGGGGACACCGTCGGGGACACCGTGGGGGACACCGTCAGGGACACCGTGGGGGACACTTCAGGACAAAGCCGGGTGCTCCCGGTGGGGGACGGAACGTTCCGGACACAGGCACTGAGAAGAGTGAGGACATTGGAGGCATTGGGGCCATTTTGGGACAATTTCAAGGCCATTTTGGGACACATTTGGGGACACATTTGGGGACACGTTTGAGGCCATTTTGGCCAATTTTGGGGCAGTTTTGGGTACCCTGGCAGCCATTTTGGGGCCCATTAGCGGCCATTTTGTGGAGGACATTTTGATCACCTCAGGACATTGGCGGCCATCTTGGAGCCATTTTGAGCCCGATTTCCGCCATTTTGGCGCCATTTTGAGCTGGATTTTCACCATTTTGGGGCCATTAGGTGACACAAAGCCGCCTCCACGATGTCCCCAAATGTCCCCAACTGTCCCCTCAGCGCCACCGCAGCTGCGCATCGTCCCCGAGCGCTCGGGCCCCGCGCTGGCCCTGGTGTGCCACGCCTGGGGCTTCTCCCCCGCCGAGATCACCCTGAGGTGGCTCCGCAACGGGGCCATCGTTGGGGACACCGTTGGGGACACTGTCGGGGACACCGTCGGGGACACCGTCAGGGACACCGTGGGGGACACTTCAGGACAAAGCCGGGTGCTCCCGGTGGGGGACGGAACGTTCCGGACACAGGCGACGATCCAGGTGCCGCCAGGGACATCTGGGGACACTTTGGAGTGCGTGGCGCTGCACCCCACCCTGGAGGAGCCCCTCAGAATCGCGTGGGGTGAGGAAATTTTGGGGGATTTTGGGGTAATTTCGGGGGATTTTGGGATTTTCGGATTTTTAGGAATTTTTGGGATTTTTTCGGGATTTTTTCTGGATTTTTTGGGAATTTTTTGAGGATTTATTTTCATTTTATTGGAATTTTGAGTGCTTTTTAAAGATTTTTTTACAATTTTTGGGGGGATTTTTTGATTTTTTTTCTGGGGGATTTATGAGGATTTTTTTTAATTTTGGGAGTTTGGGGATTTTTAGGAATTTTGGGGATTTTTTAAATTTTTTCTGGATTTTTTGGGAATTTTTTGAGGATTTATTTTCATTTTATTGGAATTTTGAGTGCTTTTTTATGATTTTTTAACAAATTTTGGGAGATTTTTTGGGTTTTTTTCTGGGGGATTTATTGGAATTTTTTTAATTTTGGGAGTTTGGGGATTTTTAGGAATTTTGGGGATTTTTTAAATTTTTTCTGGATTTTTTGGGAATTTTTTGAGGATTTATTTGATTTTTATTGGATTTTTGAGTGCTTTTTAAAGGTTTTTTAACAATTTTTGGGAGATTTTTTGGGTTTTTTTCTGGGGGATTTATTGGGATTTTTTTTAATTTTGGGAGTTTGGGGATTTTTAGGAATTTTTGGGAATTTTTGGAGGGTTTATTCCAATTTTCTTTTGAATTTTGGGCGATTTATTTAAATTTTTCAGGGATGGATCTTAAACATTTTTAGTGTGAATTTCTTTTAATTTTTTGTGGATTTTTTTAAATTTTTGGGGAATTTTATTTAAATTTTTGGGGAAATTTTTTTAATATTTGGGTGTGGATTTTTTTATTTTTGGGGGGATTTTAAAAATTTTTTTGGGTGGATTTCTTTTAATTTTGGGTGGATTTAAAAAAATTATTTGGGGAATTTTTAAAGAATTTTTGGCTATGAATTTTTTTAATTTTGGGTGGATTTTTTTTTTAATTTTGGGGATGAATTTTTTTAATTTTTGGGTGGATTTCTTTGAATTTTGGGTGGATTTTTTTAAAGAATTTTTGGGGATGAATTTTTTAAATTTTGTGTGGATTTTTTTTTAATTTTGGGGATGAATTTTTTTAATTTTTGGGTGGATTTCTTTGAATTTTGGGTGGATTTTTTTAAAGAATTTTTGGGGATGAATTTTTTTAATTCTGGGTCGATTTCTTTGAATTTTGGGTGGATTTTTTTTTAATTTTGGGGATGAATTTTTTTAATTTTTGGGTGGATATCTTTGAATTTTGGGTAGATTTTTTTTAATTTTGGGGCAATCATTTTAAATTTATGTTTGACAACTTGTTTAAATCTTTGAGTGCATTTATTTTAATTTCTGGGTGGTTTTTTTTTTAATTATTGTGAAAAATTTATAAATTTATAGGGAATTAAATTTTTTTTTAATTTCTATGTGGATTTCTTTAAATTTTAAGGATTTTTTTAAAATTTTTGGGTGTGAATTTCTTAAATTTTGGGTGATTTTGTTCCGTTTTGTCCCCGCAGCCCCGGGATTGTCCCCAAGGTTGTCACTCCTGGTGGCCCTGGCGGTGCTGGCGCTGATCCTGGGGCTGCTCCTCTTCACCTTCGGCCTCAGCCGCTACCTCGGGACAGGTGACAGCGAGGGGACACCGAGGTGGCACCGAGGGGACACTTTTCTGTCACTTTTGGGTCATTTTCTGTAACTTTTGGGTCATTTTTATGCTGTTTTTCTTGCTTTTTTGGTCCCGTTTTGGTCTTTTTGGTCTTTTTTGTTCTTTTTTGTCACTACCTGAGGACAGGTGACAGTGAGGGGACACCGAGGTGGCACCTCCGGGACACTTTTCTGTCACTTTTTGGTCATTTTTGGTCAATTTTTGGTCACTTTCATGCTGTTTTTTCTTGCTTTTTTTGTCCCGTTTTGTTGTGTTTTGTCCTTTTTGTGTCATTTTTTGTCCATTTTATGCCACTTTTATGTCACTTTTTGTCACATTTATGTCACTTTTTGTCCCTTTTATGCTGTTTTTTCTTACTTTTCTGTCACTTTTGGGTCATTTTCTGTCACTTTTGGGTCACTTTCATGCTGTTTTTCCTTGCTTTTTTTGTCCCGTTTTGTTGTGTTCTGTCCTTTTTGTGTCACTTTTTGTCCATTTTATGCCACTTTTATGTCCCTTTTTGTCACATTTATGTCACTTTTTGTCCCTTTTCTGTCACTTTTTGTCCCTTTTCTGTCACTTTTTGTCCCTTTTCTGTCACTTTTTGTCCCTTTTCTGTCACTTTTTGTCCCTTTTCTGTCACTTTTTGTCCCTTTTCTGTCACTTTTTGTCCCTTTTCTGTCACTTTTTGTCCCTTTTCTGTCACTTTTTGTCCCTTTTCTGTCACTTTTTGTCCCTTTTCTGTCACTTTTTGTCCCTTTTCTGTCACTTTTTGTCCCTTTTCTGTCACTTTTTGTCCCTTTTCTGTCACTTTTTGTCCCTTTTCTGTCACTTTTTGTCCCTTTTCTGTCACTTTTTGTCCCTTTTCTGTCACTTTTTGTCCCTTTTCTGTCACTTTTTGTCCCTTTTCTGTCACTTTTTGTCCCTTTTCTGTCACTTTTTGTCCCTTTTCTGTCACTTTTTGTCCCTTTTCTGTCACTTTTTGTCACATTTATGTCACTTTTTGTCCATTTTATGCCACTTTTATGTCACTTTTGGTCACTTTTATGTCACTTTTATGCTGTTTTTTCTTACATTTTTGTCACTTTTTGTCCTTTTTTGTTCTTTTTCGTCACTACCTGAGGACAGGTGACAGCGAGGGGACACCGAGGTGGCCCCTCCGGGACACTTTTCTGTCACTTTGTGTCACTTTCTTGCTTTTTTTGTCCCATTTTATTGTGTTTTGTCCTTTTTATGTCATTTTTTGTCCATTTTATGCCACTTTTATGTCACTTTTTGTCACTTTTATGTCACTTTTTGTCACTTTTATGTCACTTTTTGTCACTTTTATGTCACTTTTTGTCACTTTTATGTCACTTTTTGTCACTTTTATGTCACTTTTTGTCACTTTTATGTCACTTTTTGTCACTTTTATGTCACTTTTTGTCACTTTTATGTCACTTTTTGTCACTTTTATGTCACTTTTTGTCACTTTTATGTCACTTTTTGTCACTTTTATGTCACTTTTTGTCACTTTTATGTCACTTTTTGTCACTTTTATGTCACTTTTTGTCACTTTTATGTCACTTTTTGTCACTTTTATGTCACTTTTTGTCACTTTTATGTCACTTTTTGTCACTTTTATGTCACTTTTTGTCACTTTTATGTCACTTTTTGTCACTTTTATGTCACTTTTTGTCACTTTTATGTCACTTTTTGTCACTTTTATGTCACTTTTTGTCACTTTTATGTCACTTTTTGTCACTTTTATGTCACGTCGCTTTTTGTCCTTTTTTGGTCACTTTTTGGTCAATTTTGTGCTGTTTTTTCTTCCTTTTGTGTTGCTTTTTGTCCATTTTTGTCACTTTTTGTCCTTTTTTTGGTCTTTTTTGTCCTTTTTTGTCACTACCTGAGGACAGGTGACAGTGAGGGGACACCGAGGTGGCACCGAGGGGACACTTTTCTGTCACTTTATGTCACTTTTTGTCACTTTTTGTCACTTTTTGCCACTTTTTGGTCACTTTTGTGCTGTTTTTTCTTGCTTTTTTTGTCCCGTTTTGTTGTGTTTTGTCCTTTTTGTGTCACTTTTTGTCACTTTTATGCCATTTTTGTCACTTTTTGTCACTTTTATGCTGTTTTTTGTCCCTTTTTGTCCACTTTTCTCCCTTTCTCACTGTTTTTTTCTCCATTCTCTCATTTTTTCTCCGTTTTTGTCCTTTTTTGTCCACTTTTCCCTCATTTTAATCTCATTTTTGTCCCTGCAGGTTACACCCCGCTCCCCGGTGCCACCCACGCAGGTGAGGGACCCAATGTCACTTCCTGTCACCTCTTTTGTCATTTTTGTCACTTTTTCTCCTTTTTTGTCCATTTTTTGTCACTTTTCCTCATTTTTTGTCCATTTTTTGTCATTTTTTCTCCTTTTTTCTCCTTTTTTGTCACTTTTTGTCACTTTTTCACCTTTTTTGTCCATTTTTTGTCACTTTTCCTCCTATTTCGTCCATTTTTTTGTCACTTTTTGTCATTTTTTATCATTTTTTGTCCATTTTTTGTCGCTTTTTCTCCTTTTTTATAATTTTTTGTCACTTTTCCTCCTTTTTTGCCATTTTTTGTCACTTTTTCTCCCTTTTCCCCCCTTTTCTGTCCCTTCCTCTTCATTTTTGTCACTTTTGTCCCTTTTTTCTTCCTTTTTCTCCCTTTTCTCTCCTTTTTTGAACAATTTTTGTCCCTTTCCTGTCATTTTTGGTCACTTTTTTGTCATTTTCTGTCCCTTTTTGTAACTTTTTGTCCATTTCTCTCTCTTTTTATCCCTTTTCTCTTCCCTTTTCTTCCTTTTTGTCCTTTTTTTCTCCTTTTCTGACACTTTTTGCTCCCTTTTTCCACTTTTTTCTCTCCATTTATCCCTTTATTGTCAATTTTTGGGGTTTTTTTGTCAATTTTTGTCCTTTCTTATCCCTTTTTTCCTTCCCCCCCATTTTTATACCTTTTAATTCATTTTTTCCTCCTTTTTTGTCACTTTTTTCTCCTTTTTTCCCACTTTTCCCTCCTTTTTGTCACTATTTGTCCTTTTCATCTCTTTTTTCCTCATTTCCCCCCTTTTCTCCCTTTTTATTGCTTTTTTCTCATTTTTTTTACTTTTTTCTCCCATTGTGCTCCTTTTTGTCCCTTTTTACTGCTTTTTCCTCTTTTTTTCACTTTCTCTCCATTTTTGCTGGGGTTTTTGTCCCTTTTTTCTCATTTTTTTGTTCTTTTTTCTCATTTTTTCTCATTTTTTATCCCTTTCCCCCATTTTCATCCCTTTTTTCCTTTCTTCTCCCTTTTTTCTCATTTTTTTGTCCCTTTTTTCTCATTTTTTCTCATTTTTTATCCCTTTCCCCCATTTTCATCCCTTTTTTTTCCTTTCTTCTCCCTTTTTTCTCATTTTTTTGTTCTTTTTTTCTCCTTTTTTATCAATTTTTATCCTTCCCCCCATTTTCCTCCCTTTTTTTTCTTTCTTCTCCCTTTTTTCTCATTTTTTGTCCCTTTATTCTCATTTTTTCTCATTTTTTATCCCTTTCCCCCCATTTTATCCCTTTTTTTCCCCTTTCTTCTCCCTTTTTTCTCATTTTTTCCCTTTCCCCCCTTTCTCTTACTTTTTTGTCCCTTTTTTCTCTATTTTTTTGTTCTTTTTTCTCATTTTTTCTCATTTTTTATCCTTCCCCCCATTTTATCCCTTTTTTTTCCCTTTCTTCTCCTTTTTTTCTCATTTTTTTCCCTTTCCCCCCTTTCTCTTGCCTTTTTGTCCCCTTTTTCTCTATTTTTTGCTCATTTTTGCCCGTTTTTGCCCCATTTTCCCCTCCAGGTTACACCCCCCTCCCCGGTGACACCCACGCAGGTGAGGGACCCTCGACGTCACCCTTGGCCCCTCCTTTGTCCCTTTTTCCCCCTTTTTTCCCCCATTTTTTGTCACTTTCCCTTCACAGGGAGCATCTGAGGACCCTCCCAGGACGGCGACGGGGACCAAAAACCCGAAAATCACCCAAATTCAGCCCAAAAATCCCCCAAAAAATCCCCCCAAAATGCCCCCTAAATCCCACCCAAAATCCCCCCAAAAATTCCCAAAAATCCCTCAAAAATCCCCCAAAAATCCCCTAAATTCAGCCCAAAAATTCCCCCAAAATTCCCAAAAAATCCCTCAAAAATCCCCCAAAAATCCCCCAAAAATTCCTCAAAAATCCCCCCAAAAATTCCCAAAAAATTCCTCAAAAATCCTCCCTAAATCCCGCCCAAAAATCCCCAAAATCAGCCCAAAAATCCCCCCAAACTCCCTCAAAAATCCTCCCTAAATCCCACCCAAAATCCCCCCAAAATTCCCAAAAAAATCCCTCAAAAATCCTCCCTATTTCCCACCCAAAATCCTCCAAATCCAGCCCAAAAATCCCCCCCAAAATCCCCCCAAAATTCCCAAAAAAATCCCTCAAAAATCCTCCCTATTTCCCACCCAAAATCCTCCAAATCCAGCCCAAAAATCCCCCCCAAAATCCCCCCAAAATTCCCAAAAAAATCCCTCAAAAATCCTCCCTATTTCCCACCCAAAATCCTCCAAATCCAGCCCAAAAATCCACCCCAAAATCCCATTAAAAAACAAAAAAATCACCAAAAATTCCCTCAAAATATCACCCAAAAAACCCCAAAAATTCCATTTAAAAACCCCAAAAATTCCCCAAAATCCCCCTTAAATCCCATTAAAAATCCCCAAAAATCTCCCCAAATCCCACCCAAAAATCCCTTTAAACCCCAAAAAAATCTCCCCAAAAATCCCCAAAATTTCCCCGTTGTGAAAAATAAAGTTGGTGAAAATTTTGGGGATTTTTAGTGGGATTTTTTTTAGGATTTTTAGGGAAATTTGGGGAGGAATTTTGGGAGATTTTGGGTGAGGAGGGATCCCCAAGACGGGGGTCCAGCCGAAATCTGCCCAGCAACCTCTGACGTCACACAAAAGACGATCTGTGATTGGTCAGCGCTCCTCACCCTCGCTTAATGAGTGCCCGTCCATTCCTCGGCCACGCGTGAGCGGCCATTTCCCCTCCGCGTGTCACCTCCAGCCCCCTGTGTCCCCTCTTTGTCACCTTTTTGTCACCTTTTTGTCACATTTTTGTCACTTCCGCGCGTGTTTTTACCCCTCTAAAGCGCCCATTTGCCCCCCACGCGTGTTTTTACCCCCTTAAAACGAACCCCGGCGGCCTTTGAGGCGAATGCCCGTAACCAACATGGCGGCCGCGTCCGTAACGTCGCTAGGGCGCATGCGTAACACACGCAGTGTGGGCAGGAAGGGCGGAAGTTTTATGCCGTACAAGAAAACTGCGCGTGCGCCACCGGAAGTGAACCCCTGCCCGCTATATAAGCGGCCGGGAAGCCCCGTAGCGCTCTTTTTGCCGGGTCGGAGAAGAAGCCGCCGCCATGTGAGGGGGGAAAGCGGGGAAAAAGGGGAATTTTCTGGGAAAAATGGGATTTGTGAGGGGAAAATAGGGATGGGGAAGGCGGCGGGGTGGGAATTTGGGCGGTGAGGGCGGGGGAAGGGGGAAAAGTGGGGATGGCAGCGGTGGGGGGGAGAGCGGCCATGAGGGGAAGTGGGGGGGGAGGGAAGCGGCGGTCTCGGGTTTTTTAAAATTAATTTTAAATTAAAAATTTTCGTTGGGATTGGGGGTTTAGGGAGAGAAAAGGGGGATTGGGAAAAGGTTGAGCGGGAAATAGTGAGAAAAAAGGGGAAATAAAGGGTGGGAAAAGAGGAAGACAGTGGGAAAATGGGGAAATTTTTTTCTCCATATTTTCTCCGGGCTGGAATTAAAGATTCCTATAGGTGAGAATTCCTTGGGTATTTGGGGCTAGAATTCCCAAATTTCCATGGGAGTTTGGATTTGGAATTTCCGAATTTGGGGCTGGGATTCCCAAATTTCCATGGGAGTTTGGGGCTGGAATTCCTGGAATTTGGGGCTGGAATTCCCAAATTTCCAGGGCAATTTGAGGCTGTAATTCGGGGCTGGAATTCCCAAATTTCCATACGAGTTTGGGGTTGGAATTCCCAAACCTCCACAGGAATTTGTGTCTGGAATTCTAGAGGGAATTTGGGGCTGGGATTCCCAAATTTCCATGGGAATTTTGGGTTGGAATTAAAGATTCCTATAGGTGAGAATTCCATGGGTATTTGGGGCTAGAATTCCCAAATTTCCATGGGAATTTGGGGCTGGAATTACTGAAGTTTGGGGCTGGAATTCCTGGGAATTTGGGGCTGGAATTCCTGGAGTTTGGGGCTGGAATTCCCAAATTTCCATGGGAATTCGGGGCTGGAATTTCTGGAGATGGGAACGTGGGATTGGGGCCGGAGCACGGACGACATCCAGATCAACGACGTCTCCCTGCAGGTGGGGATCCCGAAATTCCTGGGAATTTGGGGCTGGAATTCCCAAATTTCCATGGGATTCAGGTCTGGAATGCCCAAATTTCCATGGGAGTTTGGGGCTGGAATTCCAGGGAATTTGGGACTGGAATTCCCAAATTTCCATGGGAATCTGGGGCTGGAATTCCTGGGGTTTGGGGCTGGAATTCCCAAATTTCCCGGGCAATTTGGGGCTGGAATTCAGGACTGGAATTTCCAAATTTCCATGGGAATCTGGGGCTGGAATTCCTGGGGTTTGGGGCTGGAATTCCCAAATTTCCCGGGCAATTTGGGGCTGGAATTCAGGACTGGAATTTCCAAATTTCCATGGGAATCGGGTTGGAATTCCCAAATCTCCACAGGGATTTGGGGCTGGAATTCCTGGAATTCTACAGGGAATTTGGGGCTGGAATTCCCAAATTTCCATGGGAGTTTGGGGTTGGAATTCCCAGAATTCTGGATGGAATTTGGGGCTGGAATTCCCAAATTTCCATGGGAGTTTGGGGCTGGAATTCCAGGGAATTTGGGGTTGGAATTCCTGGAGTTTGGGGCTGCAATTCCCAGATTTCCAGAGGAATTTGGGGCTGCTATTCCCAAAATTCCATGAGAATTTGGGGCTGGAATTCTGGAGGGTATTTAGGTATTCAGAATCACAAATCCAATCCCAAAGTTCCCAAAATTTTTTGGAATTCCCAAATTTTTCAGGATTCCATCGCAGTCATCCCGCGGGGCGTCACGCGGCCGAGAATCGTTTCATTTTTATGGGATTTTTGTGAAATTTGGGCCAAAATCTTGGGTTTTTGGGACTCAGAATCACAAATCCAATCCCAAAGTTCCCAAAATTTTTTGGAATTCCCAAATTTTTTAGGATTACATCATAACAAAGGAGAAATAAATCCACCAAGTACCTCCTTGAGTTCGTATTAGCAGAACGGAAAATATTCAAATTTTGACGCGATTCGAGCCGGAAATTGGCGATTTTTGGCCCTTTTGACCCCAAAACTGATCCCAAAGTTCCCATAATTTTTGGAATTCCCAAATTTTTTAGGATTACATCATAATAAAGAAGAAATAAATCCACCAAGTACCTCCTTCAGTCTGTATTAATGGAATGAAAAATATTCAAATTTTGATGCGGTTTGAGCCGGAAATTGGCGATTTTTGGCCCTTTTGACCCCAAAACTGATCCCAAAGCTCCCAAAATTTTTGGAATTCCCAAATTTTTTAGGATTACATCACAAAAAAGAAGAAATACACCAGGCATTCACTTTACGTTAGCGCGATGGAAAATATTCGAATGTTGACGCGATTTGAGCCGGAAATTGGCGATTTTTGGGCCTTTTGACCCCAAAACCGATCCCAAATTTTTGGAATTCCCAAATTTTTTAGAATTCCATCATAATAAAGAAGAAATAAATCCACCAAGTACCTCCTTCAGTCCGTATTAACGGAATGAAAAATATTCAAATTTTGACACGATTCGAGCCGGAAATTGGCGATTTTTGGCCCTTTTGACCCCAAAACTGATCCCAAACTTCCCAAAATTTTTGGAATTCCCAAATTTTTTAGGATTACATCATAACAAAGGAGAAATAAATCCACCAGGCACTTCCTTCGGTCCACGTTAGCGCGATGGAAAATCTTTGAATTTTGACGCGATTTGAGCCGAAAATTGGCGATTTTTGGCCCTTTTGACCCCAAAACCGATCCCAAATTTTTGGAATTCCCAACTTTTTTTCAGGATTACATCGCGGTGAAGGAGAAGTACGCCAAGTACCTGCCCCACTCGGCGGGGCGCTACGCTGCCAGGAATCTTTGAATTTTTACAGGTTTTTTTATGGGATTTGGGGTGGAAATTTGGGATTTTTGAGGATTACGACCTTGAAACCAATCCCAAAATTCCCACAATTTTTGGAATTCCCAAATTTTTTAGGATTACATCATAATAAAGAAGAAATAAATCCACCAAGTACCTCCTTCAGTTCGTATTAGCGCAATGGAAAATATTCGAATTTTGACGCGATTTGAGCCGGAAATTGGCGATTTTTGGCCCTTTTGACCCCAAAACTAATCCCAAAATTCCCATAATTTTTGGAATTCCCAAATTTTTTAGAATTACATCATAATAAGGGAAAAATAAATACACCAAATACCTTCTTGAGTTCGTATTAACGGAATGAAAAATATTCAAATTTTGACACGATTTGAGCCGGAAATTGGCGATTTTTGGTGCTTTTGACCCCAAAACTGATCCCAAACTTCCCAAAATTTTTGGAATTCCCAAATTTTTTAGGATTACATCACAAAAAAGAAGAAATACACCAGGCATTCACTTTACGTTAGCGCGATGGAAAATACTCGAATTTTGACGCGATTTGAGCCGGAAATTGGCGATTTTTGGGCCTTTTGACCCCAAAACCAATCCCAAATTTCCCAAAATTTTCTGAAATTCCCAAATTTTTTTAGGATTCCATCATAATAAAGAAGAATTCAGTGCTGGAATTCCCAAATTTCCATACGAGTTTGGGGTTGGAATTCCCAAACCTCCACAGGAATTTGTGTCTGGAATTCTAGAGGGAATTTGGGGCTGGGATTCCCAAATTTCCATGGGAATCTGGGTCTGGAATTAAAGATTCCTATAGGTGAGAATTCCTTGGGTATTTGGGGCTAGAATTCCCAAATTTCCATGGGAGTTTGGATTTGGAATTTCCGAATTTGGGGCTGGGATTCCCAAATTTCCATGGGAGTTTGGGGCTGGAATTCCTGGAGTTTGGGGCTGGAATTCCCAAATTTCCAGGGCAATTTTGGGCCGGAATTCAGGGCTGGAATTCCCAAATTTCCATGGGAATTTGGGGCTGGAAATTTTTGTGCTTTCGACCCCAAAACCGATCCCAAATTTTTGGAATTCCCAACTTTTTTTTCAGGATTACATCGCGGTGAAGGAGAAGTACGCCAAGTACCTGCCGCACTCGGCGGGGCGCTACGCGGCCAAGCGCTTCCGCAAGGCGCAGTGCCCCATCGTGGAGCGCCTGACCAACTCCATGATGATGCACGGCAGGAACAACGGCAAGAAGCTGATGACCGTGAGGATCGTCAAGCACGCCTTCGAGATCATCCACCTGCTCACGGGGGAGGTGAGGAGAGCCCCAGAATTGGGGGAATTTGGGAATTTGGGGGGGGAAACGGGGGAAAAGGCAAAAAATCCCGTGAGAAACGGAGGGAAAATGGGGGTTTTAGGGGGGAAAATGGGATTTATAGGGGGAAAAATGAGGGAAAAATGGGATTTTTTAGGGGGAAAAATGGGATTTTTAGGGGGAAAAATGAGGGAAAAATGGGATTTTTTAGGGGGAAAAATGGGATTTTTAGGGGGAAAAATGAGGGAAAAATGGGATTTTTACGGGGAAAAAATGGGATTTTTAGGGGGAAAAGTGAAGGAAAAACGGCATTTTTTTAGGGGGAAAAAAGGGATTTTTAGGGAAAAAAATGAAGGAAAAATGGGATTTATAGGGGGAAAAATGAGGGAAAAATGGGATTTTTACGGGGAAAAAATGGGATTTTTAGGGGGAAAAGTGAAGGAAAAACGGCATTTTTTTAGGGGGAAAAAAGGGATTTTTAGGGAAAAAAATGAAGGAAAAATGGGATTTATAGGGGGAAAAATGAGGGAAAAATGGGATTTTTACGGGGAAAAAATGGGATTTTTAGGGGGAAAAGTGAAGGAAAAACGGCATTTTTTTAGGGGGAAAAAAGGGATTTTTAGGGAAAAAAATGAAGGAAAAATGGGATTTATAGGGGGAAAAATGAGGGAAAAATGGGATTTTTAGGGGGAGAAATGAAGGAAAAATGGGATGTTTTTGGAAGAAAACTGAAGGGAGAATGACATTTTTAGGGGGGGAAAATGGGATTTTTAGGGGGAAAAATGAGGGTAAAATGGGATTTTTAGGGGGAAAAATGAAGGAAAAGTGGGATTTTTAGGGGGAAAAATGAGGGAAAAATGGGATTTTTAGGGGGAAAAATGAAGGAAAAGTGGGATTTTTAGGGGGAAAAATGAGGGAAATTGGGATTTTTAGGGGGGAAAAATGGGATTTTTTGGGGGAAAAATGAAGGAAAAATGGGATTTTTAGGGGGGAAAAATGGGAAAAAAATAATATTTTTAGGGGGGAAAAATGAAGGGAAAATGGGGGAAAAAATCAGATTTTTCCGGGGAAAATAGGATAAAAATGGGATTTGGGGAGGGGAAGAGGACGTGGTTTTTAGGTGGCAAAAATGGAATTTTTAGGGGGAGAAATGAAGGAAAAACGGGATTTTTTTGCAAGAAAACTGAAGGGAAATTGGGATTT